CGGGGTGCAGAAGTTTCGTACTGTATTTTGTTTTTAAAAGTATTGTACTGTACTTAAATTTAGGTGTACTATATTATATATCCGTACAGTACACCTTTTCATATTATATAAAGGAAAATGCGTACTGTACTGTATTGAATAAAAATTATAAATAATAGTACAATACAGTACAGTATATTGAACTTTGCTAAAATATGCCGAAATCGATCTGAAAATCTACAACTCAAAGCTGATTTAAATATTATATATAACATGAATATTAATTTATTACGCAGATAATAACGATAAATTAAGAAATTTTATGTAATAAATATGTAATTAATTCGAATGCATGTTCGTCATTCACAATTAACATTAAGAAGCAATAATGTTATATTACCAATATTTTATTGTAATACATTTGTTAGTATTAACATTAGCGAAATATATATAGCATTCGCAAATATATAATATAATATATTGATACAACAATTTGCAAAATATAGAATTAAAATTTAATTATTTAGAAGTTTTTGAAGTTTTTCTCGTAACATTATTTCCTTTTCCAACTCATCATTTTTGTTTTTCTGAATGGCGAGCTTTTCATTTTCGATTCTTAAAATTCTTTCTTGTTCCTCAATGTTAATCGATTCACTGGTAACTCGAGCTTTTTTTGAAGATTTTTGATAAATCGAAGTTTCATTTGAACGTTTGCCTTTGTCTTTAAATTTAATAATTCATTATTAATAATACATAATTACAAAAGATGTAATAATATACAACATACTGGTTTTTTTAACCGATTTTATAGTTCTTTGTAAGGGTGATTTATCCCTATAAGATTCTGGTACGTTTGCTTTTTCGTACGTATAAGCTGAACTCCATTGAAGTTTGTCAAATTCTTTGGCTCTATTTTTAATTATAAAATAGCGATTTTATAAATATTATACCAAAATATATGCAAAAGTTGTACATACATACGTATTGTATAATCTCAATTTTTAATACACATACTTGGTAATTGCAGCCAATAAAGATAAATTACGCCCATTTCTGTTAATATTCGCATGAGCCGATTCTCCAGCATTAGTTGTGAATGGCGTACTAGTCCAAATCGTTTGCGCCATTTTAGTAAAAGCAGGAGACAAACCAGCGAGTATCCATGATTGTTTTTTGTTTTGTACCCAATCTAATAAGTTTATATAATTAATAAATTATATATATATATAGCATAATAATTGTAAAACATACATACCAATGATACCGGGTTCTTCACATTTTTCAAGAAATTCGAGAGTATTCATAATTTCATAAGCCGTTTTACTCTCGATCAATGAATACATTTTTTTTTTTATTTCTTTATTTGTTCCTTTTTTACGAATATTTCTAAAATGATAATTTATAAATTAAATTAAATAGATACATATATATATTTAAATATTTATAATTAGAAATTTTTACCTTTTAAAATGTATAGTACATAATTTATAAATTCGTTCTAAATGTTCAACCGCATTAAATATTGGAAATTTTTCAGCTAAATATTGACCTAAGCCTAGAATAATCGTTAATATAATATTTATAATAATTTCAATAAAAATTAATAAAAATTTACCCAATGCTTGACCATAATGCTCATCAGCTAAGATACATCCAATTCCACGACCGTGGATATGTTGAAATTCTATAGAGCGTTTACAATCTTGTTCGACGCAGGCAAAAAGTTCTTCAAATAGTTTTTGGTATGTATCTGCTGTTTGAAGGATAGTAAAAGCACGTGCAAATACCAAAGCTTTCAAATATAATTTTTATATTAATTAACATATATCGTTTATTGATATATATACATAGTAATATATTTAAAACCTGCTTACTTTTTTGATATTTTTCTACATAAGCACATACCTCCCATTCGTTAATTGGTCCATGTACACGTTTAAAGCTCATATCTATTTCAAAATACAAGGAATCTGCCAAATATTTCATTTGATTCTCATAACCGCATAGTATTAAATATTGGCCATTATTAAAAAAACCTAAAAAATAAATGATTAATATAAATATAAATTATATATAAAGATATATAATCATATATAAATTTAAATAATTGTTACGAATAGATCTAATATAAGGATTATCTTTTTCATCCTGTTTTTGCTTTAAAAGCATGTATGCAACACCCATAATATCTTGACCATACGGATGTTCAGCACGACGCCTTGTTGCAATCATATACTCAATTTTAGATCGATTATTCAATGATGGGTGTAATTCCGGAAGTGGAACTCCTTTAAGAAATCGTTGCATCGATGTACCTAATAAATTTAAAATTAATATAGTATTAAAAAACTTATAGTGCAACCAAACCAAATTATATAATATTTTATAACTAGAATTAAATCGCCAACCAAAAAAAAATTTAAATCATGTAATTTAATACAATATAAATTATTATATAATGATAATTAAAGCGAACATATAACTAGTTTGTTGAATATGTAAATGATATAAATCACATGATCTGAAACTTTTTAAATTCTACTAACGAACCCGCAGCTACTCATAAATATATTTTTGAAACATTTTACTCCAAAAAATAAAAAATTTAAAAATTTATTTCTTGCCAAATTAGAATTTAAAAATTATTGGTTTAAATTATATCACGATACTATCGGAAGCTGCCCTGAATGATAATAAAAATACATACGGGTAATTAATTTTCTTGCTGTTAAATCTAAGATATCCTCTGCTGCGATTATACTTTTTAAATCATTTTGAATGGCCACAGGTATTTTTGACGGTGGGGGCGGTGGATGATTGTGAACATATCGTGACATAATTACAATATACGGACAATTTTCAAGATCTTCAGGCACATAATGCCAGAATTTGACAGGACATCCTGATTTTTCTTGAATTAATCCTTGAGCTACTTCATTACTTTCAGTAGTATGAATATAAGCTATATAAATATAAATTAATTAATTTTTGGCAATGATATATACAAAAATTAATAAACAATAAAAAAATATATACGGCATTTTTTTGCTTGTGCACTGTAAGGGTGAACTGTATAGCAATGTCGAATAGAATCTGAAATCTAAATATCATATTAGTATTAATTAATATATTTGAGTTTTAACTATTAAATAATTTAATTTAATATAAATACTTCTCCAATAATTCCATCACTATAATATGTATGTTCATGAAAGAGTTTTTTTAAGTATTCAACATTAATTCGCCCAGATAAACTTTGATACCGATGGCCACGTTCACCATTTTTAAAATTTTCACAACCGATAAAATAAGTAGGTGTAGAAGTATCACCTTCTTGCTATAAACGATAACGATAATAATTTAAATTAATAAATTTTTATTAGGTATCGTCAATCAAAACATAATATGGTATATAGATTAAAAAAATCATTACACGAGATTAATTATAACATGGTATTGTACTAAACTAGACAATTAATCAATAACACCCCATGTCATAATTAATTTTTCATAATTTTTTTGTACGTATGTATATTTTAATTGACAATAGCTTAAATAATATAAAAACCTGATAATGAGATCTAAGTTTAGGCTTGCCATTACATCGAATACCGGTTTGAGGATAAATAAATCCGCATGGTACTTTATGTGCTGCAGCAAATGCACTAATAAAAAAAATTCAATATATGTTTATTAATATATTATATATATAAATATATATGTACTATAAATATATATAATAAATATAACTTACTTTAACGTATTTGTATCTGAAGACAATTCATTCGCCTCAAATATTTTTTTGAAAAGATTGTTGTCAAAGTCCACTGATGTATGTGTCATCGCTACTAATTCAGGTGCTGCAAATTGGCATATTTTAATACCACGACATTTTCTTGTTTCTTTATAAACTTTTGCATTTAAAAAAGGGCAGTAAACACTTTTACGGGTGGTTCCATCTTTATAAGAATACTGAATATTCTTAAGATCAAAAATCTCAAGAGCTTTTTCAGTATCCATACCAGCTACATTATAAATACAAGCGACACCATCCTCAGAAGTCTCTGGATATTCTTCAAATTCAAGCCGATATTTAATTTTAGCAACAATTTCCGGCTTCGCTCTCCCTAATTTAATTAATCGGGGCTATATAATATTAAAATTTTAGTATTGGTAGATCATTTTATTCAACTATCGATTAGTTGGCCAATTGATTAACTGATTAGTTAACTAATCGATTGGCCAACTAATCGATTAGTTGAATAAAAAAAAAAAAGAAATATATGTAAAGTGGCAACTGCGACAGCCAGATTAATATTCTTATATAATCAATTAATTTCAACTAGTTGATTAATCGGTTAGTTGACCGATCGATCAATTAATCGACTAAGTTGGTTTGTAAAATTCAAATCGATCGTGTTATATACCGTCTCAATTTCTTCAATTACTTCAGAAGTAAATGCGGCTACTTGTTTACTGAACTTCCACTATATAATTTATCGTTATAATATAATTTAGTAATTTAATATCACAAAATTTTTATTATGTTTCTTAAAATTTATACCGTTAATGGATTATTTGGATCTTGGCTATCCTCATTCAAAGAATCAGAATCCAATTCATCGCCAGAATTCTGTTCGTTGTTAGAACCCCGTTCATCAACAAAACCCTCTTCGTTGTCAGAATCCCGTCCGTCAACAAAACCCTGTTCATCGTCAAACCCTCGTTTGTCATCAAAATCATAACCATGCTGACTTGTATCGAACAGATCCCATTCATCGTCAGAACTAACAGGTTGATTTGTACTAATTTGGTAAGCCATTTACAATATTAATTCATATGTATGTACAAGAAAGAAATGTACTACGTACAAATAAAATTTTTGACTAATTTGTATAAAATAAAATTTTATATGTAATACAAATAGTTTAAATTTGTGTAATTTGTGTAATTATGATTGTGTAACATTGTTGTAATATGTACGTATGTACTGTATTGGATCTTTGCTTCGCATTTTATATGTACAATCCAGTACAAAAGGCTCTAATCGCTTATTATATTATTATAAGTGATGTACTGTATCGTTTTGAAACTTTATATAATACAGTACTATATGATACAGTACTAAATTATCTTTTATATATGCACATTCGTACTGTATCGTACTATCTCAAAATTTTATATAATACAGTACTAAATCATCTTCAA